CCTCCTCTAAGCCTATCCTCTTTCCCCAGCAGACTGTCAGTAGCTTTGACGGCAACGCCGGAGGGTCTGGTGGATTCTACAGCATAGCGTAAGTTGAAACGGAGTTTCTGCTTGGGTTAATATTAGCCAGTGTCCCCACACACAGAACGCAGCCCAGAGGTGGCCAAGCAGTGGCGGAAGAATGCACAATAGCTGGATCAAGTCAGCTCCAAAACGCTAACCTGCTTGGTGCAAAGCTTAAATGGGAATGCTCCAGAAAATGCTGGGAGAATACAGCTGACTCCTCCACACCTCTCTGGAAAAAAAAGAAAAAATCCCCTGGAGAAGCTATTCTGTGCAGAGGCTGAGCTTCTGGTGGAGGGGGACTGAAGGCATGCGACTAGGGAACTGGAAACCTGAAAGGCACGCTACTTGAGGTCTGGGGACCCTAGGGACACAGGACCTGAGCCACGGGCCTCATGGAGAAGGGACCCAGGCACACGTGACTCCCGGGATCACGGGATCCGCGGATATATTACCTGCAAACACGGGATCCATGGGCAGGACTATGCCATTTCCAACCGAGTGGTCTAATAAAAGCCCCCTGATTCTTCATTCCCTCTGTCCCATGGCCGCAGAGCAAGAACATGTCTTTCTCTCACCAAGAACGGCTATGGAGAAGCCCAGATGTCTGTGAATATGGACGACCATCTGCCCCTGCGCTTGGTTTCAGCCAGCTGCATCGCACCTGGAGTGAGTGGGGGACCCCACTTCTGAAACTGGGGAAGAGCTGGGCGGTCAGAGGTGCAGGTGGGAAGGGACCCTTGGCAGGTCCCAGTCTTGGAGCGGGCTCTCTGTAGTGTTTTCAGCCTTGTCCCCTGGCATCTGAGTTTTGCCTGCTGCCCCTTGCTCCGTCACTCGGAATAACTGAGCTCTGGTGTCTCCTGAGTTGATCCTGGATCTTCTTGGACCCTCTGGGCTACAATGACCCACCTCAACCACCCCAAAGCCTCTCCCTCTCTCCTTCCCTCTCCCCCTCCCTCTCCTTGTTTCCCAGTCCCTTCTCCACCAAAACCGGATGCTGGATCTTAGGCGCCACAGCCTCCCTTGGCCACACTCCTCTCTAGATGCCCGGGTTCTGGGTGTTGGACAAGGAAGAAAGAGGAGGGCAGGAAAAAAAAAATCTACCAAGGCAACTGGAGAATTTCCAGGACGCAGGGAAATTTCACTCAAAGGCTGGAGAAGGGAATGTGCATCACCGTAAGTTGCTCTCTGGATCAGATTTAAAGATTTATCCAAGCAACACAGGAACCAGCTATAGGGGAAGGCAGGCAGAGGGGATCTCTACCTGAGCATCCTTTCTGGGAGATCCTCGTCCCTGAACGCAAGAGGAGCCATCTGGAACGAGGTGCTCTGAGGAGTCTTTATGTTGCCTAGGAAAGCTAGGTATTTGGCTTCCCAAGCAAGCCCCTTCCAGAACTAGGGACCATTAGGGCCAATGTTCCCATGATTAAAGCCCCACCCTCGCTTCCCATCTCAGCCTGCACAAGAACAACACAGCAGCACTGTCCGATAAAGCCACCTTCTAACAGACGTCTTTGACAGGTCAGCCCTGACCTGACCCTTCCCATCCTGCTCAGAAAGGACTGAGCTCCTCCCAGGACGCCCTCTATGCTCCAGCAAATGAAGGGATGAGCTTGGGTACCTCTCCAAACTGTCTTGCAGGACTTTGGCAGCCCTGACTATCCCTCTCTGGGTCGTGGGAAACACCCTGGCAGAGGCATGGGAGCAGAGAAAGACAGCACCCCTTCTTTGCTGACCTCCCCTACCCCCAACAGTTCACTGTTACTGCAGTCAGTGCCCAGCAGATGTGGCTGGACCTGCTAGTTTGGCTGAAGTCCGCTCTCTATCAAAACTCTGCTGGAAGGGTACTGTGTCACAACAGAAAACCTGGAGAGGAGGAAGCCTACGCACACTCTGCCAAGCTCTGACTTCTTACACTGTGCAGCCTGAGGCACCCTGCGGTGTGTGACCCAGGGCTCTGTGCAGACATCAGTGCTTACCCGGCAGGAGTCTTTCCCACCATCCAGGAATCCTACACACATCGCGTTGCTAGTGATCTGGCCTGGGTGAGCCTCCTGGCACTTTTGGTTACTCAGAACTGGAGCTCTCAGTCACCGGAGAACCTGAGGGAAACTGGCTGCCGGGGCAGCAGGGAAAATTAGGTTTCCTCTTGGGACTCAGCACTGTCAGCGAACAGAAAGACCTGTAGACCTATATGCGAGAGCCATCCAGCAAAGCAGGGCAACCCTTGACGTGCATGAGCAAATGCGAAGGGCATTGTTGACTGAGGCACACTGGCAGGGCAGTTTGGGGAACTCACAGGCAGAACATGGAAAGGCTGCAAAGCAGGAGTGAAATGTACACGGAAGTCATGAACGTGGCGCTGAAGCCGGAGAAGTGTGACCAGGTACCTGCAACATGCACTGATACTCACAGCCACTGCTCAGTGTGTTTCCTCACCTTGAAAAAGGCACTCGGGACCCTCCTTGGCACAGGAGCTGGGCAGAGCTGTGGGTTGAATGTCAGCACTGCAGTCCATGGTGGTGGCCAGCTTGATCAACACAACGCCGGTATCAAGGCTTCTTGAATCGTATCTAGGATGGTGAATGATTAACGCGGCACGCCTGACTAGTTCACTGTCTTCCTTCACGTAATGTTGCGCTCTCCCATCCTGCCATACTTGCGTATGGCTGCAAAATTACCAGCAGGGAAGAGCAGCAGTTAACCATGGGTAGAACAGCTTGGTGCCACACGGGGCCTGGCAGACCCTCGGAAGAGAGTCAGGGAGCGTTGGCCTAATGAAAAGTGTATGTGTCACAGAGCTCTAGGAGCTTCCCGATTTTATGAAAGACAGAGTCTGGAGAGTCTTGCTAGTTGGCGTCCTGTCCGACGGATCCCCCGCTGGCAACCGTGGCAATGGTGCGAGCATAGATGGATCACCTCAGACACCTCGAGCAATGCTTAGGGAAAGAAGGTTACATTTCCTATTGCAGAGGAGCATGATCCTTGATCTGTGCTCTCTCTGCAGAGGTATGCCCGAAATTCAGGACAAGGAAGATCCATGGAGAAAGTCTGGAGGAATGAAAAAGAAGGGAATAGTAACGGTAAGCCACGTGGGCGTGCAAGTATGCACAGAAAGGCATGTTAGGATGCAACGAAAAGGATGCCAAGACTGCAGGACTATTGGAAAGATCATGTAACGCAGTGAGACACAAGGCAGTGTTTCGCCTTTGGTGTCAGGTACACCATGCATCGCCACCTTGGATTCTCTTCTTTTGCTAAGCACCATATTGCAAATCGGGTGGCTTTGCAAGGTTTGACCGGAATCCAGATACACGACCCAATCCCTACGTATGATTTCTAGCAGTGAGCAGCTGAGAGGACCCACTGGCTGTTGATGAACGAACCGCCACAGAAGTGATACCCGGCATTCAAGGACACTGGTAGGGAACGGAATGCTCGAGGCAATTGCAGCCTCCCACAATCTTGTCATCACCGGCATCCCCAGGAAAAGCAACTGAGAGAAAGAGGACTGAGTGTCACGGCACCAGGTCTGAATCCCTTCTCTTGAAGTGTAGCAGCAGCCAATGAGCTACAGGGGAATTAGCAAGAGCCAAAAGAGTGTGAAACTTGAGAAGCCTTCACAGCAGCTCCTGAAATATCCTCCGGAGTTCTCTCTGTGCTACGCTGAAGCAGGAGGCTTTGTCTTTAGCACCCGGAGTCAGAAAGAGAACAGAAAAGCAGAAGCTGCCAAAGAACTTCACAAACGAAAAGCGCGCAGCCTTCACACGGGCACCCTCACTTCCGTGGCACCTTTGGAACAGGAAGCAACAGCTGGGTCATGGTGGGAAGCGCACGGCGCACATTTGCGTGGGCTGGGAAATGGAAAATGGCCAATGCAGTTGGGAGTGCCAGCAGAATTTTAATTTGCTGGGGGGAAGCCAGGGGTGAGCAAGAGGGGAAGGAAGCCCTGGTAGTGAAGAAATCGGAGAGAACATGAGGGCTCTGCCGAGTTGGAGGCTGACGTTATAGCAGAATGTAAGAAAGAACACGAAAGGGATTTGTTGAAACCGCTAGAACAGTGGCCTCCAAGCAGTTTGCATCACGCACGCCTATTGGTAAAACATTTTTGAGGATGCACCCCCAGTCCAGGTGTATTTAGTGACTGATAATTATATACGTATAGTACTGAAGTTCTAATGTTTTCTTCCCACACCCCAGTGCATCGTCTTGCGCACCCCCAGGGCTGCATGCACCCCACTCTGGAGACCGCTGCACTAAAATATGGTAAACCGGGAGCCTGTCTCTGACCGTCGACTACAGATGCAAAGAGCAGAAGATGCAAAACCCTTCCGCACACCCTCCTGGCCTCTATAGCAACTGGGGACTTGATGTTCCTAGGTCAGACGGGATGTCTTTCAACCAGCTCCTCCCAGGCAGGAGAGACTTGGGAAGAGAGAATCAGCGGTCCCTCCCCCAGCGAGCTCTGTGAGATGTACGAGGACTAGCCGCAGAAACTCCTCCGCTTTATGCTCCTGGGAAGCTTTATCTCCGTCAGCCCACGGTCTCACCAGGTTTCCCTTTCCCAGGATCTTGCATCAGCCTGGACAAATGTATTTACTTGATCTGAGTCCAGTGATGATACAGCTGACTGAAATACTTGCACTAGGAACATGGATTCCTAGAAATGCAAGCTGCCATTGCTTGTCCATTGATAATATCTCATGCCATTTCAGCATCTCAAAGCATAGGG